GTCAGGAATTTAACTGTCCCCTAATCATCTTGGTTGCTCTTCTCTGCACTCTTTCTAGAGAGTCTCAGCATCTTTTTTATATTATGACGACCAAAACTGAATGCAATATTTCAAGTGTGGTCTTACCAAAATAAAAGTGGTATTAACACTTCACGTGATCTTGATTCTATCCCTCTATTAATTCAACCTAAGACTGTGTTGGCTTTTCTGGCAGCTGCAACACACTGCTAGCTCATATTAAGTGATTGTCCACTAGGACTCCAAGATCCCTTTAGTAGTTACTAATGTTGAGCCAGGTTCCACCTATTTTCTAGGTAGAAAATTAATGCCTTGCTAAACTGTGTGGACATTTAAAGAAATATAAAAAAAGTACTTGTTGGATGTAGTTCTCTTCTTTCCTTTTTTCCATTTCTTGGGTTACCCTCTTTTCATTCACTATCCATACCACGGTGCAGTAGACACCTTTTTAGATTAACCAGCAACCACAATTCTGTATGTCTAGAAAAACATAATTGGCAAGTTCTTCTAAGCAGCTACTTGAATCTGTTGCCTACTCAAGAAAAGCATTCCTGCACCTTTATAAACAGAATAATACATTATTTCCTTCTCTCAAGACTGGGCAGCCGCTCCCAAACAAGTCAGACTAGCTAAAAGGTTTCTTGATGACAGAACTGTTAAAAGGATAAATCAATATATTGCTGTGTTTTACTTCCTATGGCACTTGTGTATGCAACATTCTTAAGCAATGAATAAGAAACTGCCCTAATTCTGGCATTTTCAGTAAAACTTTAGTACGTCATTGCATTGGAAAAGAATATTCTGTAAATGGGGCTCTACATTTTTAATTAGCTGCTACCAAATAGAATGCATTAGGGCAAAAGAGAGAAGCTATTTTAAGAGCAAGAGGTGTGTTTGCGCCTCTTTCTCTCCCCTACCCCCTTCTCTAGCAGACAGATTTTTCCCTCTTTTCATACAATATATAAATCACTCCCCATTCAGTACAGTTTTACTGTACAAATAGATACACGAAAAGAAAAAATTACAAAGTACATACATTTCTGGTCTGTTCTTCCCTTTTCCATAAAAAAATCCTACAAATTAAAAAAAAAGAGTACCACAAATATTTGAATGTCTTGTGGGACCGGCTCATATCAAATTAGCTCCATGGTGAATCTGAAAGCTTGGGAAACTAAACCTCTGGTTCCAGTGACCAAACCAGATTGGATCCTGCAATATTATCCTGGGACACATATATATTCATTCCAATTCTGCTTGTTTGTTTTAATATATTATTTATTTCAAGATCAGGAAAGTCACTGCTATGCTACAATCAGTTTTATGGGAATGTAATAGCTAAGGTATACCATTATTAAATGTCCATAAAACCTGAAAGAAAAAGAATTTGAATGTCCCAACAAGACAGTTAGAAAACATTTTACCCCAGGGCAGTAATACCTCCAAACATTAGGAAAAAAAATCTAACTTGGTCATTCAGGTCTTTCAATGGTCCAAACATTAGAGGGATGGGTATTTATGGTGTGGGGCAGTCACTAGTATATACAATCTGATCATTATCATTTATTCCAATAAAGCTCTAATGAACATCATGAACATACCCAGAGAGGAATTACATGCACTACCCACACAGCTCACTAATTACATCATATATTTTAGCTATGGGAATAGATATTTTAAGTACTTGACTTCTAAGTAGTTTTCATATCATGTTTAGTTTACTTTATTATCATTGTACCTCGTAGAACAAAATTAAATACCATCTTCAGTGTACACTATGACTATGAAAATAAACGCAAAACACACATTAATCTGTCATTGTCCCATGAATCTGCCACTTAACAGAGTTGGAATGAACACTCCCTTTCTATCTTCTCACTTTTATAACCCAAGTTATTTTATCGCCTCTGTGCTTCTAGTTTTCATATTCTAAATCACATGTCTTACTTCATTGTTTTAAGTTAGTTGCATTTCTATTAAAAGGGTATTGAAGAATCAGATTTGTGTTCAGCAACTACTACAGTTTTTTTCCCCAATCAAATCAGGACTTATTTTGAATTTGATAATATATAAAAACCTTAAGCCTTTACTCGGATAACCTGCAGGCCACCTTCTGGGTGAAAGCAAGCCTATGGTCTAATCAATGATTAAATCATTTTGCCTCATATTTGTGGCTCTGAATGTATTAACTGCAGGATACAATATTGATGTAAGCCAAAACTTTTATCACATTTTTGAAAGTTATGTTTTTCTTTACTTTACATCTAAGAGTAGGGAAGTAAGATGTTTGGGTATGTTAACATCTGTTAATTTTCATAATATATAACCCAGTACACAGTGGTGGGTTGCAAAGTGGTTTGCCACTGGTTTAGTGGGTGTGGCGTGGTAGGCGCACATTGCGCGTGCACACACTTTGCACACGCATGTGCCAAATGCACACTCTGCACATGCGCAAAGGCTTTCCTACTCACCTCCTGCACTTTCCCTATGGTTTGAACAGCTGATGCACTGCAATCTGCTGTGCCGCGCAAAGCAGCCGCACTTTAAAAGCAGGAAATAAAGGTCAGTATGGGTGGGCAAGTGGGCCCAACAGCGGCTCATCAGAAAGGACAGGTTCGGTGTCAGCTGATCTTTGGAGCTACCTCCTTGGGAGAACCAGGCCAAACTGGTAGCATCCCAACTCTGCCAGTATATCAATGTATCAGTCTAGGGCAGTCTCAGGAGTGGAGCAGGGAAATAGAGGGACAATCTGCATATCTGTGCTACTTTTGCATGCAATTCAAGGCTACAAAATTTACCCTGCACACCAGTCAAAGTTCTTTATTTCTAGGGATCCCTGAGATAAAAATAAGATGGAAAAAGTCAGAGAAAGAAATTGCAGTTTGATAGGGCCCATCAAAATAACACTAAAGCAGAGAAGGCTCAGCTTCAGATTGTTTCAAATGAACTGCCATTAAACTGATGTTTACATAAATAAGGAGGGACCATATATAAGCAAACCTACTTTTTTAACTTGTGCAACGCTGGAATAATTCCACAGATACAGAAGTACAGTATTTTTATGTGGTTAAAAAGAACCTCTCACAATTCCCAGCAAGTTATAAATTCACTGAATTTCACAATTCTGTTTAATAGAGATTTAGTAAACTAACCTTCGGAGAGCATAAGGAAATTAAAAGAAATCCCAAATGTAAATTGAATTGCAGCAAGGAGATGAAATCTCACTTCTGGCAGAATTAAGTGTTCTGACCCTTTCATGAACCCTAAAGAGCTAGCTCATAATTTCACAAAGCATTTGGAATGGAAAGCATGTTGCATGATGTTAAAAATCTGAGCCTCTCAGTCATTTTGTTTTGTTTTGTAGCCAAA